TATTGGCTTATTTTCGTCGATCATCACGTGATGGTAAAAATTACATAGTAATTTTGTCAATTTTGTTGGCGATCCTGGGGTAGTTCAAGGAGTATGAAGGAATCCTGTGATGTACATACCTGGCTTTAAGTGACCCCTTTTTTATAAACTTTGAACTATTAAAAAAAATTCTAGCTTAAACAGGATTATATTGTAAGTTTTAACATTTTTTATAAATTACTTTATTCTTCGTTTGAACAAGAATGTTATGTTCCGGTAATTCCACGACACTCCCGACAATAACAGATTTAAACTCACAACCTTACGATGCTTTCATTTGTTCTATAAATCTCTTATTCGAACCTGCACCATCACTTGCAACTATATTATACTCCTGTCGTCCTTTTACTTCTTACAAACATTTAATTTCAACTGCTACTCAAATAATTTTTGGTGGCATCGAAAAACGCGATATCGATCATTCCGAAGATACTAATTCCCAGCAATTAACACTCTCCCAAAAACTTGAGGTTATAAATGCACACCCGCGTTTAGGCGAAAACAAACAAAATCTTTCAACACTATCATTAAAAGAACAGGGCTATCTTAAAGATGACATTAATGGTAATAATAATTCACCTGTTACACCTCCATTAGCCGATGAAGATGAAATAGTAAACTCGAAACTTCAATCACTGAATCAACAATATGAACAAAAATTTGGATTTCGTTTCGTGATATTTGTTAATGGTAGGTCTAGAAAAGAGATTATACCCATATTGGAAGACAAATTGCAAAATGGGAATCGAGAAGACGAATTGAATAGAGGATTGTTAGATATGATGAATATTGCTTCAGATAGGTTGACGAAGCTAAATGGCAGTTGATCTAGAATAAGATATGTGCCAGATTAATGTTGTTAGTCGAAATTATTTAGACATTTAGGCATTTAGGCAAATTGAATTTAGACAATTTCGACTTTGCCATTTTTTAAAAAATTACTATTAAAAAATAAATTTAGACATTTAGACATTTAGACAATTTAATTTAGACAAATTTTGATATTAGTAAAAACAATTTTGACTAACAATATTATGCCAGATGTCTATTAACTTGATAAATCTTTTAAAAGCTTAACGTATTATTAAATTACTGGTTGATTTTTACATCGAATTAAAATAGATAATTTCGGATACTATACTTATACTATATATTAAGAGCTATTCTAGTATCGCCCATGGAATTAGTAATTTGAGTATCTTGAATATAATGCTGGTTATTTTAGATAATATCCAACTTTATATAACCAAGGTAATCATAGTGTGATAGTAAATTTTTACAAAAATTTGAATTTTACAAATTAAAATATTTTAATTTTATAAAAAAATGAAATAATTAAAATTTGAAAAAAATTTTTTATAAATGAAGTACTAGTATTTAATACTTATATGTTTTTAACATAATATTTTATTAGAAGTTAAAAATTTTTTTTATTAAACATTAGGTTTGTTTATCTATTTTATAAATATTAACTTATTATACGTATAATCTACGTAATTATATAAATGCAATATTGTATCATTTACAAAGTTGGTTTAGTAATTTAATATTATAAAGTTTTAAAATATTTCAATGTAAATACTTAAAATCATGTCAAAGATAAATGCTCTTTTAATTGTTCTTCCCAATTCTCAGGCTCTTCTGCATCACCATCTGAACCCACCAAAGCAGCAGCACTATTAAAATCTTCAATCCAAGCATCTATTAAAAAGCATATATATATATATATATTAATATTCAAATGCATAAATGTTTCTAAGAAAGATAGCCAAACAAAGAAATAAATTAAATACCTTCTCCCTTTGTGACATCAAACAACACTTCTTTATTAGATGGATCATGATTTTCTTTATCCTGATAAATTT